ACATTTTATAGATTGACATATGAAGAGACATATGAAGGTGATTGTGATGGGTGCTTGCAACTTTAAAAAAATGACCAGATGCTCAAATGGTTTAGTACAGAAAATCTTAAGCTGAGGTCTTATTCCATTTATGAACTTCCAAGTGACCATAGACCCCTCGAAATTGAGACAATTTTGGTAAATATTTGTAAATTCATTTTTCAAAGTGGGCAAAATTGCTATAATTTCATGAGATTGTCAAGTGTACATGACCCCCAAAAGATCTAGCTCCATTTGTTTGGGATAAAGATGTAAGATCTGGGAGAGAACTTACACAAAATCAGTGTCCGGTGACATGCAAACAGTTAAGTAAATTGCAGTATATCCTGTGGTGGAATAATATGCACCTAATAACAATTAATGTTCATAAAGAATCAAAAGAAGGAAAAATGTAAATGATGTAATACTAAGCAATAGTTAGAGGTCTGCACAAACGTACTCAAGAATATTGTGAACTCTATATGAATCCCATTTGAAAAGACAGGGTTTTGAAAGACATTTTTCAAGGATTATATGCAAAATGGGTTTTTTTAATTATTATTTTTTTTCAGTTACAGTTGGCATTTAATATGATTTTATATTAGCTTCAAGTGTATAGCAGACTGGTTAGACATTTATATAATTTATGCAGTGATCCCCCGATTAGTCTAATTACCCCTGGCACTATACATAGTTGTTGCAACATTATTATTATTCCCCATGCTGTATTCAAAATGTTGTTTTGATTGGCCATTCAGTGAAGAGGTGGAGAGGTGTAGTCAAACTTGTCGCGCATCCACTCTGTACTAAATACATATGTTTTTGTTGTGTTACTGTTAATGTGCATGTGTTTCCTTTCTCTGACTTTTAAGGTGACTTACATAATTCATGTTCATTCACGGGAGAATCGTGACAGTGAACGTGTCTTATTGTAGTGATGAGCAACAGCCACATGATGTTCAAGAGCTGGTAGGTGTGATTTGTTTCGGGCCCACTGATTTTCAGTGTTGGGCTGTTTGTTTAGTTTTCTTAATGTCTGCAATAGTATATCTCTTCCCTGTCAGTCAATTTGTTTACATTTGGAAGTATATGTATAGTTTTGATTATGGAATTAATACAAGTTTGTTGCAAAAAAATCAGCAATACAGGAAGCATACAGAGAAGGAAATGAAAATTATATCCTTTTAATCATTTTTAATTGTTTGGTTTATTTTTATTCAATTTTCTTTCCTGTGAGCCTATGTGTCTGATTTTTGTTTCTGCAGAGTAAAATCACAGTAATTGGTCATATAATTGAGTTGAAAACTCTCTAGCTTTTAGTTTGAAAATGAAATCCAACCTAGGCTTGGGTTTTATTTTAATCTTGAGTAGTATGTAGAAAGAAGAGGAAGGTGCCAGTGATTCCTTTCTTATGTGAAAGCCTTCAAGTATTTACAACTTTTAGGAATATAGAAATGCCATTTAAAAATTGATTACCAGGGCAATAAAGACAGACTTTCAGAATTAGCATATTTCAAAGGTTACTTCCACAGAGAATAGCAGTAACTTCTAATAGACAGCTGCCTTACAAAAATCTATTGCACAAATAATATTTCCAAGGACAGATATCAATACGAGAAAGTACAGTGAGAACATTATGGTTATAAATATTCAAATAAGCCACCAATCTGTACAGAAGAACAAAACTGAGCCTCTGATTAGTGTCTTCAGCTTGACACTAATTCTGGTTATCTTTTTTGAGCCAGTTTTATGGTGCTTAATTTTGTCTCTCCACTTATAGCTTCTGGGACAAGGGACTATTTCCTCCATATCTTTTTAAGGATCTGTTTTACTCATCTTGTTACCTAGGAAGAATGGGGTTTCATAGGGTTGGGCTGTGAAACTTTAGTTAGCGTTATAAGAAAGCAAGCCTGAGAAGCACAGGTTTTATTGTGAGAAAAATAGAAAGAGTGGTATTAACTTTCTTTATTATAATGGGATAAGGGACAGTAATCTTCATCTTCACTAATCCTGGTTAAAGCTTATTTTAAGTAAATATTGTATACCAATCAGTATTTTATATGGATTTTCTTTATCTTCAATGCACCCATCTGTGGTAGACACTGTCCGTAACCCTCTTTTATGGATGAGGAAACAGAGGTGTTGAGAAGTTGGTAACTATCAAGTTCAGATTCACATCCTGAAAATCTGACACCAGAACTTTTATCTTAATTTCACATACACTTCCCATGTTATGTATCCTTTAAAAAAACTTGCCTGCCTCACTAAGAAATTGATTATGCATGTCTTTCTTCATCAATTAATGTGGTCCAATATCATAACAAATGAGGGTAGAGTGGGTGATAACTTATAAAACCTTTTGCTTACTATTATATAGTTTCCAATTCTTGGTTATCATAAATGATTTCTGGTTGAATATCCTTGTGTATTCATCTTGTGTACATCTAGCTATTTAAAGAGACATTTCTCTAAGCGGAATCTTGGGTAAAAATTTATCCCAAATGTAAGACCCTGCGGTAGTAGCACTTGGGAGGTAATACAATGACTAAAAGACATAGTTGTTACCTTTAAGACAAGGAGGGCAAAATATATAAAGGAATAAGTGTAGGACAACAAAGGCCAGCAGGCAATTCAGGTGACCTGTCTGAGGAACTCATCGGAAGGTGATTGTAGGCAATCCTGTTGGGTTATGACCCACTTTGCAGAGGCAAATGGAATTTATTCTGTGAGTTTTAGATGTTATAGCTTTTATCCTACTAATGTTAGTTGCAAAGTGAGACTAATAGGATCAGGTGATTCAGTAATTATCTGGAAGGTAGCATTCTAACAAGACAGATTCAGATACAAAATAAAAACCCATCTGTCATAAGACATGAAAAGACGCAGGATCAAGACCTTATCAATATTATCCATGAAAATTTTGGGGAAATTTCAGCCATTTTTTTCTAGGTAGGACAAAAGTAGAAATCATATAGTTAGTATAATGCATGGCTATTGTTAAAACAATTACGCAGAATACCTACACAAATAGATCATTATGATCATAATACAAAATAAACATTATTATATATAGCTATATAACTTGCCACACATTTTCATCTATGATGTCTGATTGTCAGTCTTTCTGTATTGATATGTGCATGTAATTTATAAATGTAAGCATGCTCTACATGCTGTAACCTGTTTTTACTGTTGACAATACGTATATCTTGACTATTTTCCCCAATCTTGCATAGTTTCATAGTGTTTCAGTGCATGGATGTTCCGAATGCACTCAGAAATCAGATTTTTGGGCACAGGCAATTTGCCTGAGCAATTCTTTGTGTAGCCTGTCAGCCCTTATGCCTTGATCAACTTTCTCCAGTCCTGAGCCTATGAAGAGTGTTCTAGCTTGGACCATGTGGCCCACTCTCAGTCCTGACAGGTGGGAATGGAGGGAGGAGGATCTGATCTGGGCAGGACTGAGTAGTCCACTCTCAGGTCCATATCTACATCCCCAGAATTGAGCACTGTCAGAAGCCTGCTGAAGTACCTGGGGTTTTGGGTGAGAGTTTAGAGGCCACAAACGGTGTGTGGGGTGTGGAGTAGAAGCAGGAGTGGAGGAGATCGAAGCTCAGGAGCTTGAGTCAGGACGGGACCACTTCAGAACACCTGGCCTAAAGCATTTTTTTCCTTCCCCAGCTCTGGCTTTTCTGGACTTTGTACGTCACCAGTAGAGGAACCCCATGGAGCATTAATTAGTTCTTGCAATTCTAGAACCATGACTGATGTAAGTTGGTGTTTCTCTCTCCTTGAAATATAGTGATTTTTAGGTCATGTGAATATTTTCCTTAATTATCCTAAAGCTTTCTACCTAACAGAACCCCAACCCTGAACCTGCTTCTCAGATCCTCCTATTTCAGTGAAGGATGGCACCAGATCACCCAGTGTCCTCCCTATGTCCATTTTCCAATCGGTGTCATTATATTCATTAAACACATTATTCATCATCTCCTGTGTTACCAGTCTTCTATCAGGAGCAGTGAGAGAGCAGTGAAGAAATGGAGTCATTTTGTTTTTAAAGATTTTATTGGTGGATTGAGGGAGGGGAACAGATAAGTTGCTGTCCTTTTGTTCTTCAGTCTAGTTGTGGAGGATGTCACTTCACTGGCCCATGTTGGTATCATTGCGCTCTTCCTGGGTGAGGCAGTCGCTTGCCGGCCATTGGACAGCTGCTCACTGCAGCTCACGGCTGCTCACGCTGGCTGCCGGCCATTCACGGTAGCTCACGGCAGCCCACTGCAGCCTACACAGTCGCCGGTGACTTACGGCAGGCCAGCTCCAGGTCGAGCTGTTGTTCACCATCTTAGCTGTAGAGGTCAGTGTCACTGGCCCTAATGTGGGATCCGAACCAGGGCCCTGCTGCTCAGAGCTGGCATCCCAAGTCAACTTTTAACCAATGCACCAGTCGGCCAGCCCAGAAATAGAGTCTTTTGAGGGCAATATCGAGCTTCTGTCAAAAAATACCTCAAAGAAAGACAGCTTTCAGCACACTTTCACTTGTATACAAGGAAAACCAATAGTAGATTGATTTCATCTATCGAAGCACAAACAGGATTTATATAAAAGAAGGAAGAAAGAGGAGAGAATGAAAGACTGTAGACATCTTGAAAACAACAGCTTTCCTTTGATTGGCGGCAGCTTGAAAAGGAGCCAGGCAGGGTACTAGGCCCTTAGACAGCTGGAGGCCATCCAAGAGTGCAGTTTCACTTGTGCATTCTCTGGAAGACCTTTGGTGTTTCACTGTGACACATCCATGGCAGGCTGTCTTCGGTTGTGCCCTTTGTTATCGCCTCCATCTTCATTCCTCAGGACTGCACCAGATCAGAATCTCTCACCCCCAGGTCAAGTCTGTGGTGTGATGAGTTAGTCATGAGGGTCTCATTGGACCACACGGGAAAGCTTGGAACTTCCTCACAGACCGGAGTTTTCCAGAGCGTTAAGGTGGACTTTGTGATTTCTTGGTCTCAGCCTCAGTTTATGTGCGATTGCATGCTTTGTGAGGCTTTGAGGATTAGAGTGGGGAGAGAGTGGTTCTTTTCAGGGATCCCCTAATTGATGAGCACCAGTGTCAACGTCCATTTTGTCGTTGACCAGGACTTGCAGGTCTTGGGTGACATTTGTATCCTATATCAATATCCTCGAACTTGGGAACAAGGAAGGTGTGAAGCCAGGGGTGGTTGACGGTACCAAGTAAGTAGATGATCCAGATTTTTAAGTAGTAGATGATAACGGATTCCCAGAATTAAGAAAATCTATAGAAGTTTTGTTCAACGTATATGTATACATATCTCTTATTAATGTCGTATGTCCAAATGATGAACTGAATTGTAGCTAATAAAACATTTTATGTATTCATCATAAGAAAAAATGCTTATGATGTGACTTAGCAGAATGATTGACTTGTGTTTCAATGATAATCCTTAATTTAATGGAAATCCTTTTTCTGAAATAGAGATTTTATAGTGCATTTGGAAAGAAAATTTTTTACATTTTTTTCTTTTTCTTTTTTTCCATATTCCTTACAGGGAAAAGATAGTGTAGGAGTTCACATTTATAAAGGATTTAAGAGGCAGGCACATAGCAGGTTGTATATATGTATACACACCCATAAACACCCCTTACACACACACTCACACAATTTTTATATAGAATCTTTAATAGAAGAGGAACTGGGATGATTTTACATATTACCAGACAGGTCTGGGTAGCTGAGTTATCTTATGGTATCCAGGAAGTTCTTTCTGCTATAACAGGATTCTTCTAGAATGTGTAGATACTCTGCTTTAGTAATACTAATGTCCTTATTTTTCCCTCCTCATATGTCTCACAGGCTTCCCGCCTACTCAACTGTTATATTTTCCTCTTCCTGCAGTTTATTCTTCACAACCTTTTTACCTCTTAGAAATATTTTCTTACATTTTGAAATTTCACAAGTAATGCGTGGGTTTTTGGTTTTAGGAGTCGGTGACTTTCCGGGATGTGGCCATCGACTTCTCTCAGGAGGAGTGGGAGTGCCTGGATCCGGCTCAGAGGGACTTATACGTGGATGTGATGTTGGAGAACTACAGTAACTTGGTCTCACTGGGTAAGGTCATCTGCCTGAAATCATTTAGAGTCCAGCGGTTCTCAACCTTTCACAGGGGTCGCCTAAGACCATCGGAAAACACATATTTTCGATGGTCTTAGGAACCGAGACACCGCTCCTCTATCTGTCTCCAGGCCCACATGCAGATACGCCCACATACGAGTACCCAGCGACCCCTGTGAAAGGGTCGTTCGACCCCCAAAGGGGTCGCGACCCACAGGTTGAGAACCGCTGATTTAGACTCTCCTCTCTGCAACATCAGCTTTCTCCACGGGGAATTACAGGGCTGCCTTTGAACAAACCGGGTGAATTTCTTCTCCCTGTTCTCAAAGGAACGTTTTGATATTTGTTGGGTTAGAAATGGCTTCCTTTAGCACCTTGGTCTTCCCATCCCTCAGTGAACATCACACCCTCCTCTGCCCCTCAGAGGTCTCTCTTCTTTAATGACCAAGGAGCTGGATTTGTATTATGGGGTATTTATTTCATAATCATTGTCAGAGAAACCAGGTTTCATACTATGTTTAATGGCAACATTTCTGTAGATGATCTGTGTCCTTGCTACTCACAGTGTGGTTCTGTGGTTTGAAGAACTGTAAGAACGCCAGAGCAGAGTTAGTGAAGGAGAGTGTCGAGAATTAGTGAGGGAGACAAGCAGGGCCCCGACGGTGGCCAGTTTTCTTGGTTTGGGGTAAGAATCTAGATTGTTTTTCTCAGTGATTAGAAGCCATGGTTTGGTTTATGTGGGGTTTTAACTTTTTTACTGTTAAGTATGACACAAATACTTAACATCAGCTTCTCCTGGGAATTGTTAAAACGCAGCTTGTCAGTTCCTAGCCCAGACCAGCAGAATAGAATCGGCATTTACACAGGCCCCCCAGGTGATTCGTGTGCACATTAAACAAGCACTGCTCTGTTTTTTCTGGCCCACATGCAGGGAGTACAGCTAGAAACAGGGTCCTTATAGCCTCTGGCTTTCCAAAGAGCCTCTCCTCTTTAAACAGAGGTGGACTGAAGGAACAGAATTCATTTCATACTTAGCAAATGCATTTCTGTACTTAAAAACAAATTTGAAGTTGAAAGTTACAATCTGAGCCAAATCCTAAAAATGTCTCATGAAACTTCTTGTTTTTCTCTTAGCAAAATAACAACAGTAATAATAATAATAGTTAACACTGTGCTTACTAAAACCAGGCTGATCCAGGCTGAGCAAATACATTAACTTATTTGACTCTCACAACATCAGCGTGAGGTAGGCACTATTTTTATCTGAGGCACATACAGTTGAAATGACTTCCCAAGGTCACACAGCTGGTGGGAGAAGGTGACACCAATTGAACATAGGAAGCATGGCTCCAAAATCTGTTTTCAACCACTGTTCTCTTTGCTCTAACAAGATGGAGCCTGGTTGAGTCTAAAACACGATCATTTTCATAGGTGATGCCATACTCTTTATTCCCATCATCCTTCTCCTCTCTGAAGTCTTTATCAGTATTAGTTTACCTTTACTTCATTAGAAATTAGCCAAATGTTTTGAGCTTACAATTAAAAAAAAAAATCTACACCATTTGGCATTTCTTTTCTTGCAAGCAGACACCGCATTTCTAAGTCAGATGGGATGACATTGGAGCAAGGAGAAGAGCCCTGAATGGTTGTGTGGGGAGGGTTGAGAAGTTGGAACCCAGGAAGTTAAAGGCGGGAGGGAACCAACATTGCAGGGAATGGAGGCGATTCCATTCCATTCCACAGGTCACAAAGGAGGAGAAGGAGGAACAGCCGTTTGGAAAGCTCCCTGTGAAGGAGCAAGGCCTGTGGAGTGAAGGCCTGAGACCTGGGAGGAAATTGAGATCTCACTTTGGGCCACCATACGGACTTCATCTCGATCTCATTTCTTACTCTCCTTGGTTTTCTTCTCATGTTTCCTTCCCATTTCAGTGAGGAAGGTGTTCTTTTTTGTTTCCAGTGCATCTGTTTTACTTATAGGTTGGATTCAGCTGCTTTCCCACTCGTCTGCATTTTTCTCTGTGTGTGAATAAATATACGCATTCATTCATTTATTCTGCAAATATTTTGAGTGTTGTCTGCTCCCAGCCAGACATTGTACTGAGCATTGTTAATACAGCCATGGCCAAGATGAATGACTTGCCCATTCTCATGCAATTTGTGTAGTCAGGGAGAAACATAAAACAAGTAAATAAATAGATAGATAAATATCTTGGAATGAAACATGTTGTTCAGGGAAGGTAAACAGTATTAAGAGAATGGAAAACGATGGGAGCTGATAGGGCTAATTCAGATAAGATGGTCAGGGAAAGCTGTGTTGAATAGACACATGAAGCCTGGGTTCGAGTTATATGAATATCTGGGAGAGGAGTATCAGTCGCAGTGAACAGCAGGTGCAAAGGCCCTGTGGTTGGAAAGGAACTTTGTTGGAGGAAGTGTAAAAAGGCCGGGGCAGAGTTAATAAAGGAACATGTACTAAGAAATTAGGTCAGGAGATAGGCAAGGACCGGATAATATACAGCTTTGTTGTTTTAGGAATTTGGGTTGTTTCGTCTTTTTCAGTCTGAACTATTGATATAGTTCTTACGTCTCTCCTTGACTTGCATTCCTTGCTGCTTTTGAAGATTACAGGTCAGTTGTTTTGTCCAGTGTTCTTCAGTGTGGCTTTGTCTGCTCTTGCCTCAAGCTTAGATTTAGCTTATGCATCTTTGGTGGAAATATCACAGAGTTGATGCTGCGTTCCTGCGTTCTGCCAGGTAGTGCAAATGATTTGTCATTACTGCCAAATCTTCCTTTGAGTCATTGATTAGGGTAGTATCTGCTGGCTCCCTCCCTGTAAAGTTAATCTTTTTTCCTTTAATGAGGATTTTGTGAGGAAGAACTTTGTGAGACTACTAAATATCATATCGCTCTTCAAACTTTGTTTATTCATATATTGCATTTCTAGTCAGTGAGTTGTAATCTGTTCTTCCCATTGTTTATTTTGAAGCTCAGAATATTTGAGCTCATCCCAGATTTAACCACTGGGAATCTTGTGTTCTTTGGCACGTCTCCATCACTCTTTTAAGTGCTTCCTTATTTTCTGATACAGCAACATGTTCCAAGCTCATCTTGTACTTCCCCTGTTCTAGCGCTAAAGCCAGCCATTTCTTCAAGGTGCCCTGGTTCTTTTTAGTTGAGAATGGTATTTAGAAGCCAAGATCTAGGTAGTAGGTTTGCTCATTGCTACTGAGGGATGGGTTGCTCCCAGGCCCTTTTAGTGGACAGAACTCGGGTATACTTATATTTATATACATATATACACATGCACATACATTTATGTCTATATATCGATAACCTTGACTCCTCACAGATATCTCCAATTCCAACTCACCACTACAGGTTTCATTTCAGCTTATTAATTTCTAACTCCATTCTCTGGTAGTGAAAAACCTGGCTTCCATCATCCTTAATCTATTTACTTATTTGATCAAACTCTCTGTATGTAACTACATTTCCATTATCACCACCACCTTGATCATGTGATTGCCCGTCCCATCTCACTTGGGCTGTGAAAATCCATGCTAGGTCACTTACGCACAGACACTTGGCCTTCCCCTGCTTGCATTCTGACACCCAACACGTGACAACCCTTTTCTACTGTAACTCTCCTCATGCTGGTTGACCTTCAGTACCCTGCTCTGGGCTTCATTTGATTAAATCTTGATCCTTAAGTGTTCATTTAGAAAATATTCTGTGTGATAATATGGCAAGTATTTCTTAAGCTCTTCTGTTATATACCAAAGTGTTATTGGTACCTTCGGAAAACCACTTGGGAAGTTTGAATTATGAGTTAAACCAGCTGCTTTTTTCATGGAACACCATTTTTTTTTTTGAAAGAATGACTGATAGACAAACTATGGTTATCCAGACTTAAAGTTCCTCCTCACAAAATACTCATTAAAGGAAATGTTTTTTTCTGACAGATAGGGGGTAATATTAATGTGTGATTGTTTTGATGCTATATAATGAAATATGTCAACATCTCAAAATCTGCATAATTTAGTGAACCACTGTTTTTCAGATGACCAGTATATAATGTTACAAAATTATGCATGGATAAAAGAGTCTCCAAAGTACAATGGAATTTTTTTTTTTTTTTTGCAATTTGCTAGCTCTTCCAGTGTTTCAGAGTGGTAAGGGGCTTTCAGTGATCTTAGATAAATGGGACAAAAGGTGGGCTTATATTGAACAAGTGTCTAGATCAGGGGTTGGCAAACTTTTGAGAGGGAAGAGCTGCCAGGTGTCAGCAAACTGTGGCTTGCGAACTGTGGCTCTGAAGTAAAATTGAAAATGAAAACAAAACTATCATAGTTTCATTTATAAAATTTTTAAAGGATATTATTCACATAATGGTGCTTATGTAAAAATATATTTGTGGCTCTCGAATAATTTTTAAATTGTTATGAGGGACAGGATTGTCTTTTCCAGGGGTCGGCAAACTTTTGAGACAGAACCTATCCAAAGAGCCACACGTGAGGGCCGGCCGAGTGGCTCAGTTGGTTAAGAGCTCACTCAAGAGTTTGAGCTCTGAGCAACAGCGGTTCGAGTCCAGCCCGAGCTGAGCAGCCGCTGAGCTGCCAACAGGTGGCAGGATGGCTCAGCTAAAAAAAAAAAAAAAAAATTGAGTGCAAAGAGCCACACGTGGCTCGCCAGCCACAGTTTGCCGACCCCTGGTCTAGATGGAATCAGACTATTGGTGTAGTTTTTCAGTCTATTGGTGGGAATGTCAGGCAGTTTTCCATCCAGGCAATCTAGTAGTTCACAGGGTTGGGGGGTAATGTAAATGTCCTTGAAGTTGGAGAGGAGTAACACTGTGTTATGCTGATTATACTATCTCATACTGGTTATTTGTTATGGTGCAAGAGAGGCAGTAGGTGAAGAAAGATTCCAATCAGCTGGAAGCAAGCAACTCCAAAGGAAATTCCAGCCACAACTCCCATTTCTGATTCTATCATGGGCATCACCATTACAAAACAACCTTCATTGTTTACTTTATCTGCATCTCTCAGAGGAGAACAGTCTTCAAGTTTACAGCAGCTTTCTGGAAATCCTTTTTCTGACTAATAATTAGTATCCTTCTAATCTCTAAAGAGGGTGACACCACAACAATGTAATGTATTTTGAATCTTGTCTACTGCATGGCTTCTGTAATCTCCTGTAGCGTTATACTGCTTTAAAGCCTTCTCATAGTTATTCTTAAAGCTGTTCTTAATCTCATGTCTGAAAACCAACCCTACGATGGCAATGACCAGTTCAACCAAAAAAATGAGAGTCAGAAACACTGTATATAGTTTTAGCATCCATGCAGAAGCTCGCAGGTAGAAAACAGCCAAAGGTGCCCAAAAGAATGATGACAGTGCGAGTGCCAATGAATACGAAGGGGACAGTGGTGGCCTTCTCATTTAAAAGGAAAAAAGAATTCTCCAGGCTCACCTTGCCCCAAATGCCAACGGCAAGAAGAATAACACCAGTGATCCAGAAGATGAAATTGTAATCAGGAGGATGCTGTTGAAACAAGTCATGACTGGTTTAGTTTGCAGACTCCAAGATGGCGACGCCATGACTTATCCAAACCCTGCCCCACTGCACGGGGCCATCAGAACAGCCAAAGTACAATGGATTTTAATGTAACATAGTATGAAAAGTTCACAGGTATGGTTGCATATTCCACATTGCAACTAACTTATAACAAATTACCGCTTCTCAAGTTTTACTGTAGTATCAAAGAATAACACCCACAATTATCTGAACAGGCTCATAAAATATTCTACCATTTAACAATTACATATCTGTGGAAGGCTGGTTTTCTTCAACTACTTCAACCAAAATAGCATTGCCACAGACTGAATGCAGAGGGGGATAGGAGAATCCTGTTGTCTTCTGTTAAACCCTATAGTAAAGAGGTTTGCAAAGGATTAAAAAATACCTTATTAATTTTTTTATTTTGGAAAATAATTATTTTTTATAAAATATGTTAACTTTTAATTATTATTTAAAAACGAATTAATATTTAAATTTCTCAGTTTTAATTTCTAATATGGTAAGTATCAAAAGATATAACCCATATGAACATAAGCTCTTTTGGGTCATCAATGACTTTTTAAAAAACATCTAAAAAAAGTTAAACCTATATTCCTTTACTAACACTGTAAAACCTCACACAAAACATTCAAGTGCCAAATAATTTATAATGCAAGCTTTTGCGTGGCAGTTTAAATCTATTGAACTATTTATTGATGCTAAGTTGTACAAAACTGCATTCCAAGCATGGAGCTGAGCTGGGGCTAGGTCATAACTTTAATTAGTTTCAGTTTCTGGTTTCAAATTAGATGTAAAAATCTTTCTTTGCCCTAAACTTCCCACATGACCACTGATGAGCTAACCTCTTTGATTGTATCAGGATTTGAGCTGGGTAGAGGTTGTATTATAGCTCTAGTTAGTTTTGTTTCACTTCTTGTTTGAACTCTAGCAGAACCGTGGAACTTAATAACTGCTTGAACTGCAGGATTTTGTTTGCTTTCTAGCCCAACACTAATCACCCAGAAAAATTCCTGTGAGGGAGAATTATCTAGCTTAATGAATTTGTTTTTGAGTGTAGAGATTTTCTAGATTCCAGTTCATCATGCCAACCTACATAGTCATTAAAAGTTAAGCTGGAACTGCACCTGGGCACAGAAGGCCTTGTTTGATGGAATGGCACATTTTGGTTTAAGGGACCATCTACACAGGAAGATGAGGGACTTGTTAAAGTGATCTTTGTCAAATTCTCCAGAAACTGTCAGATCAGAATATTAAGATCACAAGAGCTGAAAAATCAAAGCTGAGTTTGGTAAGGAAAGACTGGATGCTTAGGAGTTCAGTAAATCTAATCCAATTCACTTATGGGTATTATTTCCAATTTGTCTTTTATTTTTACTATGGAGGCCATTTTTCTGGTAGAGGAAATGAAATGTGTGGTTTTCTCATTTTCTTTCAGATTTGGAGTCAACATATGAAACCAAAAATACGTTTTCAAGAAAGGATATTTTTGAAATAAAATCTTCCCAGTCAGAGATAAAGGAAAGAAATAAAATCCTTGGTCTTGAGGCATCCATTTTCAAAAATATCTGGAAGTGCAAAAGCAAATTCGAGGGACTACCGGGACATCAGGGGGAATACTTCAGTCAAATGATAATCAGCTATGAAAAAATGCCCACTTACAGAAAAAGTAAATCTCTTACTGCACATCAAAGAATTCATACTCCAGAGAAACTCTATGTTTGTAAGGAATGTGGGAAGGCTTGTAGTCATGGTTCAAAACTTGTTCAACATGAGAGAACTCATACGGCTGAAAAACACTTTGAATGCAAAGAATGTGGGAAGGACTTTTTTAGTGCCTATAAACTCACTGTGCACCAGAGATTTCATACTGGTGAGAAACCCTACAAATGTAAGGAATGTGGGAAGGCCTTTAGTTGGGGATCAAGTCTTGTTAAGCATGAGAGAATCCATACTGGGGAGAAACCCTATGAATGTAAGGACTGTGGGAAGGCCTTTAGTCGTGGCTATCACCTTACTCAACATCAGAAAATTCATATTGGTGTGAAATCCTATGAATGTAAGGAATGTGGGAAGGCCTTTTTTTGGGGCTCAAGCCTTGCTAAACATGAGATCATTCATTCAGGTGAGAAACCTTATAAATGTAAAGAATGTGGGAAGGCCTTCAGTCGTGGTTATCAACTTACTCAGCATCAGAAAATTCATACTGGTAAGAAACCTTATGAATGTAAAGTATGCGGAAAGGCTTTTTGTTGGGGCTATCAACTTACTCGACATCACATATTTCATACTGGCAAGAAACCTTACGAATGTAATGATTGTGGGAGGACATTTAATTGTGGCTCAAGTCTTATTCAACATGAAAGAATTCATACTGGGGAGAAACCCTATGAATGTAAAGAATGTGGAAAGGCCTTTAGTCGTGGCTATCACCTTACTCAACATCAGAAAATCCATACCGGTGAGAAACCTTTTGAATGTAAGGAATGTGGGAAAGCCTTTAGTTGGGGTTCAAGCCTTGCTAAACATGAAAGAGTTCATACTGGTGAGAAATCCTATGAATGTAAACAATGTGGCAAAGCCTTTGGCAGTGGCTATCAACTTACTCGACATCAGATATTTCATACTGGAGAGAAACCCTATGAATGTAAGGAATGTGGGAAGGCCTTTTATTGTGGCTCAAGCCTTGTTCAACATGAGAGAATTCATACTGGGGAGAAACCCTATGAATGTGAAGAATGTGGGAAGACCTTTAGTCGTGGCTATCACCTCACTCAACATCAGAAAATCCATACCGGCGAGAAACCGTTTAAGTGTAAGGAATGTGGGAAGGCCTTCAGTTGGGGTTCAAGCCTTGTTAAACATGAGCGAGCCCATACTGGTAAGACATCCTATGAATGTAAAGAATGTGGGAAGGCCTTTAGAACTGGCCATCAACTTTGTGTTCATCAGAGACTTCATCCTGATGAGAAACTTTATCAATGTAAGGAATTTGGGAAGTCATTTACTCATGGCTCAAATCTTGTTCAACATGAGAAAAACTCATAGTAATGATAAGCCCTGTGAATATAAAGAATGTGAGGAAGCCTTTATATGGCCATCTTACTCAAGTGAGTCTTGATACTGGTGAAACCTTGTGATTGAAGAGGTGTCGAAGAACATTTTTGCGTGTAAGTATGGATGACTTACAACAAGAAGAGAAATATTACTCTTGAGAAACCTTGTGAATGTAGGGAATGTGCAAAAGCCTTATCTGTGTTTGGACAGTTTACTTGATATAAGAGAATTCATACTAGTGAGAAATACTTTGAATATAAGGACTATGAAAAGGCCTTTAGACTTCTGCATGATCTTATTGAACATCAGTTTATACTGATGTGAAACCATTTACATGAAAGGAATATCTTTATTCATGGCACAAAGTCTGATAAACGTTGGAGGATTTATACTCATTGGAAATACTTTAAGGAATGTGGGAAGGCTTTTATAGATGTGGTAAATGTCTTCAAGTATATCATAGGATTCATCCAAATGAGAAACTCTTTGGATTAAAATGTAGGAACACCTTTAGACAAGTGCTACTCAAATTTGTCTAGAGACTAGTGCCAGCCCACAAAATTGTTACCTGTCCATCATGAGATAAATGCAGAAAATGAGAGTGAATGTTTGGAAACTTTTATAGCAATTTGATATGATATTGCCATGACGACATTACATTTTACAAAAATATCAACCAGTCCATGAATGATTGGAAATTAAATACAGAAGTTTGTGCTTTTCCAGAAATAATCTGAGAGACAACATTCACACTTTTAAAGACATGAGACAAGTCATTATATGATTTAATTAAAATAAGAAACCCCTCACTTGTCACCTCTCTGATTAGAATAGCAGAACATTCATACAATAGGAAGATCTGGCTAATTTGGGAATTACAACTTCCTTATGCCCATAAAAGCATAATTTATATGAAGTTTGTTCATTTAGTACATGTATAGAAGCCTTCCAACACTTCAGTCTTTGTTAAATTTCAGCAAATTCATCCTAGAGAGTAACTGTTAATGCAACAAAAGTAGGAAGCCCCTTATCCATGGCACAAACCATACTATTGGTCTCTACCTATTGTTCGACTACCTGTTGAACGTTGGGCAAAATGCTTATCCCCATTGGGCATCATCATTAAAATGCCGGTGATGGTAACTAATGGTTCTGTTGTAGAGATTGAGTGGATTTAGTGTGCATCAGGTCCTTTGAAGAGCATGTGGTATGAAGCCTATGCTCAATAGATATTAGCTGTTGTTTTTATTATCCTTATCATTAGCATTAATAGTGAATTCTCAGGAGAGGAATGCACATTGGTAGAATGAATTTAGGAAAGCTTTTCATAACCACTTATTCATTTGAATTTCAGATAGTTCATTCTGGATAAAATTTAGGAAAACACAAAGAACTTGAAAGGAGTTTTATTCAGAATTTAGCCTTTAAACTGCATACAAAATTAAGGCTGAAAAGAAACGTGGATTTAGCAAGTGTTAAGATGTTGGGAATATTTCTGTTGAAGAACCAGGGAGAGGTGTGAGGTGTGAAGCAATTTGCCTGTAATGAATTCCAAGAGACAGGTAGGCAATAATTAGAATTCCCTGTTCACATTTCAAGATAAATTAGAAATTTAAAAGAAAATTGTCCATTTGGGAATTCTTTCCCCAAATTTTGTTATGACCATTTTCAGACATTCAGAAAAGTTTAAAGAATAGTATAATGAATATACTCTGTCTGGAATCAATAGTTGTTAATATTTGGCTGTATTTGCTTTCTCTCTGAATATGGATGGATGGATGTGTATACTCGTGTACCATTTGACTTACATGTAGAAATCATGATAGTTCATTCCTAAGCACGTTAGTATGTACCTTTAAAAATAAGAACAATCTAATTCTTTAATACCATGGTCACACAAGAAAATTAATTCTGTAATTTTTTTTATATTCATTTCTATTTCCCAGTGCTCCCAGGACTTTATTCTATTGCTGTTTATTTTCTAACCAGCATCTTCTCTATATTAATGCATTGCGTTTAGTTGTCATGTTTCTAGATTTTAGTCTTAAACACTTTTTTTTTTGGTCAATAAACACATGAAGTAAATTTATTAGTCATTAGAGAAATGCAAATCAAAAGCACAGTGAGGCACCACTTCACACCCACTAGTATGGATATATGTGTGTGTGTGTGTGTGTGTGTGTGTGTTTTGTTAG